CAATTTATGGATGGATCACATTTTGTTTATCCATTCACCTGTCAGTGGGCACTTGGGTTGCTTCTGCCTTTTGGCTGTTGTGAGTAATACTGCCGTGAACATGGTGTGCAAATATCTCTTTGAGTCTCTGCTTTCAGTTCTTTCGATTACATATCGGAAGTAGAATAATAGCTGGATGATGCTGTAATTCTGTGTTTTGTTGTTTGAGAAAGCGCACCTTAATAAGAGCATTTAGTTTTATAAATTTCCTCAAGTCCAGCTCACCCATTTTTCTCTACCTTCCCAACTTTTTGATGCTTCGTTGCCATCTTTCTATGTAGACACTTTCAAAAAAGAATTTCATAAATTGCGTACTAGATTGACAAGGAAACTTTTTGAATTGACAGCCTGCAACACTAAATCCCATACTTAAACAGCAGCAATATGCAGCATGGTTTGGTATGCTTTTAGTCACTTCAAATAGGTGTCTACTGAAGGATGGAGTTAACACTCATTAGTTTTTCTGGAAGGAAGAATATGTGGTACTGGCAAGTAAACTGGCCTTAAAGCTATTTGCAGGGCATTTTCCCTTGATGACTTATGGGAAGGTTTATAAAACAACCAGATGATGTGGAATTGTTCTTAGCCACTCTTTAAAAAAAAAAATTCCATCATGTGGAAAATACCGAGCATTTCTTACAGGAACATTGGGTCAGAACATTGGGACATTATTTCACTTTGGTGTATTTATTGTTATCTTTTGGGAACATTAAGGAACATCTACTAGGGATTGCTGTATTCATTAGCACTACCTAATAACTTTGCTCTTCTTCTGATTGTTAATGGCGTATTTTGTGGATGCGTTATCTGATCATGCAAGTTCATCTCCTGTATAATATTAGCAATACTATTTGTTGACAAAGTATACAGAGATTCATGATTGGTCATCCTGGCTAAAAACCTTAGAGTCACTCTGACGCCTAAGTGATTGGTGAGGGGTACTGATACTTTCTATCAGGTTAGAGTATCTCTTGGACTCATGTAGAAATCATAAACCAGCCCTGGTTGGTATGGCTCAGTGGGTTGGAGCAACATCCTGTACACCAAAAGGTCATGGGTTTGACTCCTGGTTAGGGCACATACCCAGGTTGGGAATCCGATCCCCTGGCGGGGTGCATGCAAGAAGGCAGCCAATCCATCTCTCTCTCTCTCTCTCTCTCCCTCTCTTCCCCCTCCCTCCCCCCTTCCTCTCTCCCTCCCCCTTCCCCCCTCACTCTCCCTCCCTCCCTCCCTTTCTCCCTCCTCCTCCCTCCCTCCCTTCCTTCCTCTCTCTAAAAGCAGTGAAAAAATGCCCTTGGGTGAAGAATAAAAAAAGAGAGAGAGAGAGATCATAAACCAAGTCACCAGTCTTCTGCAATCTGAGCACAGAGGAATGCCCACGAGACAGTCCCAGTGCCTCACAAAAGGCCTGGCTTTTGATTTCAGGCACCATCAGCAACAAGAGCACAATGTATTTCCAGCTCTTGCCCTGTATGTAACTGTTGGTCTGTAGCACTAACACATTAAAAAAGTGTGCAATTCAAAGGAAGACACCCTCCCACATCCCCTGCCCCACAATCAAGCTGCTTTGTTTTGTCAGCAGGGCAGGAAAAGGCCGGTCCTTGGCTGCTTCATGCACTGGTAGCCCTCTGGAACTGAGAAAAGGAGCTGGCCTTTCCAAGCCACACAGAAAACAAACCGAAGCACCAATATCACTGTGTGGGTGACAATTTTGAAGTGCATCATTTGTACAAGAGAAGGACAAAGTGTGTTTACGGAGAGCTGGACAAAGTAGTGACAATGACTGGTGGTGTACTAGAGGTGCCCCTTGGCATCACAGAGCCATAGGAAAGTGTGAAGATAGTTTAATATAGAGCAGAGATCTTCTCAATGAGAGTGAGGTAGACCAATTGTTTCCGTTTGTTCCACCGACCAAAGGTGATCTGCAAGCATTTTGATGAACTGTGCCCTCTCAGATTGCTGGTAACTCATGTGACATTGTTGCATGCCTGCATTATTGTATCCCTGCCCTAGACTCTCAGACAGTGTATTTCATGATTTGTGTTACATTACAAATGCTTGTAATCTCTCTAGTCCTCTAGAGTAGAGTCCACATTCCTCTTGGCATGAGGATAAAGCAGGTGTATTTTGCCTGATAATGCGCAAGGCCATGGCTTTAGGTCTTTACACTTTATGTGTTTTCATCAGTAGTGGAGTAGGGGAAGCAGGGCCCCCAGGTGGGCCTGATCAAATTGGTGTGCAGAGAGAGCCTGTGTGCATCTTGGCTCTACTTCATGCACTGTCAAAATCCTAATAATCATGGGGAGCATTTGGGGTAATATCATCCATTTTGTTGAAAAGACCATTATAGTTGTATATGTAAGTATAATGGTCGCCTCAAGGAAAATAATGTGTGGTTGAGTTAAAAAAAAAAAAAAGGAAGAAAGAAAAAAAGACCAGACTTTGGGGAGATTCAGGGATGATGGAAAGTGATGAGCTGAAGGACAGTGCTGTGTGGTTACTGGCCAAATGACTGCTGAGTCACCAATGTTTTCAAGCATCAGTTCCCCCTCCCCCCCTCCATAATACAGGCACAGTACTGACCTCAGAGGTGATTGTCAGGATTTCGTTACTAGGCTGTTCTGTGAAGCCCCAGTCGAATGCCTGCACCTGGTATGAGCACAGTGAGAGTCCTGGTGGTTGTTATTGTGTGATCCCAGGGCCCCCTGTTCTTGTCATGAAATGCTTGCTGAGCACACACCTGCACCAGGGCTGTGTTCACTGCTCTGAGGTGTTCCCACATCCAGGCTTTGATTCTGGGTCTGCCATCACAAGCCCATGCTTCTTTCTTCAGAACAGTCACCTCTCTGCCCCTATTTTTTTTTTATTGTTAAAATGGAGATGACTGTAGCACCTCTCTCATGGGCTGCTGGTGGAATAGACTGCATTGGTGCCTGGCAGGAGCTTGGCATGGTGCCCAGCATGCACAAAGGCTGGTAGGAGGCAGGCATCGTCATTATTAGCTTTTGGCCCACAGGCAGTTCTGTATTAGTGTGGATTAGTTCAATTACAGTTCTTTCCTTCCAAAGCGTTGCTGAGGTCTGAACAGAAGGACCCAAGGTTTTGGTTGAGAAGTTCTGGCCTGGTAGAGTGGGGGGAGGGTGATTTTGAAAGGTGGGGCCATGGTGGGGTGAGAGAAGGTAGAGGGAGGAAGATGTAAGATGTTGGAGACCACCCTTCCGGGTTTCAGAACCTATAATCCCCCTGGCTAAGGCTGAGTAAATGACCTTGGGACCATAAGCCATTTAGGAGACAAAGCTTATCTTCCTTGTAGGGGCACTGCCTCTGTGTCTGTCCACCCCTCCCCCCCATCCACCTCACCCTGCTCAGCTCCTGGGCAGATGACTGGTTAGCCAATGACAGGTAAGATTCCTCAAAAGAGGGGTGAGCTAAGACAGGTATGATCGAGAAGGGGCCCTCAGGGAAGGACTTCAGGGCTATAGAAAAAGAAGGTAATGGACCCTTGTCCCTGGGCTTTGTCATAGTCTGAGTTCTCATTCTGTCTGCAAGAAGTGAAATCTCTTGGCTGCCTTACTTCCCCTGCTTGATTTAAGCCTTAAACAATGCCTTAAACCTGAAACAATGCCTGGGGTGGGTGTGGCCCTATTCTTGAAAGGGCAGGTTCCCTGGGGTGATCAGGCCTGAGAAAGAATATCTAAAATCCTAAGAAACCTACTTTGCTAATACCCTCAATTTAAATGATAAGGATCCAAGCTTGAAGTGAGTTTGTTCCCCAAAGTTTTATGGCCCTTTAACTATTGACCCTGACTCAGAATAAGCCCTCAGAGTTCTTTGAATGTTATCTATTGTTTAATCATTTCTGCCTGACAATAACTGATGAGCGTTACACTTACTCCCTGTATTCCTATACAAATAAACCCAATGAAAGCCTATTGAGGAACAGGTTACTGGTCCTTCTCCTTTGAGAGGTGGCCACCTTTCTTCCCCAGGCAGATCTTGTTTTGATATACTTATTTTCATCTGTGGGGAGGGGGGGCGCTCTGCAGGCAAAGCTCCCTCACAGTGTTGCAGGAAAATGAAGCAACCAGACACCGAGGGTTTCTGGAGTACGAGGTTTATTAACATGCACGGGCCCAGAGGAGTCTGTCTCCAAATTCTGAGCCTCAAACAAAGGGAAAGCAGCCGGTTTATAGAGCGGGGGCCGGGGGGGGGGGGGGGAGGCCTGTCCTTCAGACCAAAGCGGGAGATAATTTACAGAAGCAGAAAGCAGAGCGCTTCACTATCTCTGGTATGCAGGCGATAAATTAGAAGAAACAAGGTAAATCACTGGGCTGTTAAACATCCGGGCTGTAAAAAACAGTCCCCTAATTGCTGTGCTGTATTTTAAAATAGCTATCAATTTCCCCCCAACAACAGTAGGAGAATATGTGCTGTCAGCCAGGTGAGGGGGGAAGACAGGGAGGTGGGGGGTGGCGTCAAGGATCTCTCCTTACCAGTTTTAATTCTAAGGTAGCTGGTGCAGAAGGGCAGAGAGTGTCCAGTCCTCCTCCTAGCATCTTGCCTAGGTCTCCAATCATAGGAGCTGTGTCTCTGTTTAATAGAATTAGTAGTATGGTGAGCCAAACTGAGGGTTGAGTAGGTCTTTGTGGAACCCTGACACCAATGACAATCTCATTTTCATGGGGACAAGCATCATTTCAGACCATCGAATTTCTGCCACACCATATTCATAAGCTGGGGATTGTCTGATTTTGGGATTGTATGACCAAATTAACCAAGGATTTGGCATGCACCCTGCTTCCCTCCCTCCCTCCCTCCCTCCCTCCCTCCCTCCCTCCCTCCCTCCCTCCCTCCCTCCTTTCATCCCTCCCTCTCTTTATCCCTCCCCCTTCTATCAGTGTGTGTTTCTGTTGCTTTGTGATTCCTTTACTGTAATGTCTGGCAAATGTCTCTTGTTACAGAGTACGGCGTTTGTGAAAACTTGCGGAAGCTGGAGATCACGGGTGTATCTTGTCGAGACGTCTATGCGAAGCGTAAGTTAACCTAATATCATCCATCATTAACTCCATTCCAAGAGCAGACAGCGTGAGTATCAACAATGGATCGTAAATTAATTTGACCCAAACCCAGTGTCATTCTCAGACATCTTAATTTGAATGGCACAATTGAATTTTCAAGACAGCACAGGGTGGGGGGCTCTCCTCTCTCCCACTCAGGCCGAGGCAGCACCCTTACTTTCAGCCCATCACAGGGGTCGGGACCCTTAGATCTGAGAAACATGTCTGCCCTGGGAACAGACTCTGGGGTGCTTCCAGGGGTCCCTTCCTGGGGACTTTGGGCCCACAGCCTGGTGGGATGAGCAGATGGCTGATAGGGAGTGGGACACAAAGCTGTGAGCCTCCTGGCTGCCTGTGGGCGCACTCCTCCCTCCAGCCGGGCACTGGACTCCAGCTCTGTTTTCGGTCTTCTCTTCAGTTTCTTCTAGACGTGTTGACCCTCCCCCGCCTCCCCGCCCCCATTTCTGAACCTCGCTGCGTTACTGTGCAGCGCCGTCAGCAGCACTCGCTGGGCGCTCCAAGTCTCCCTGGCCCACCCGCCTTCCCAGCTGGCCTTTCTCAGTGCCCCTGTGCAGGAGGCCGTGAAGGCTCCAGTTAGCACCCAGGACTGGGGATCAAGAAGAGTAAGAAGGACATGGTGACCCCATTCTCTCTGGCCTAAAGTTCACCCGTTCACCTCTCTGAGAGGACCTTACGTGTTCATCTTAAACCCATCTGAGAAGACTGGTTTGCACATTCTGCAGCACCTTCTACCCAGTTCTGCATTGAAAGCAGACCAGGGGTTGTCTTCCTACCACGTGCTTCACCCAGGAACTGAGGTCCGCACTTCTCCATGGAAACCTGTGTGTTGGGGGCAGCTGGGGGACCGGCGAGAAGCAGACAGGCAGGGGAGTGGGGCTTCGCTGTGGGCCAGGCCGCAGTCTGTGCACTGAAGTGCTGCAAGCGTTCTTCCAGGTCCGGGGGCTAGTGGGTGTCATGGTCTGCATTCTGTCTTTCTGTGGGTCTGTTCCTGTCAGAGTCCCCGTCTGAGGGGCCCCTCCTCCCATGTCTGTGCCACCAGCGCAGGCAGAGGGCAGCATTTCTGCAGAGCAGCTGATCCTAGGGGAGGCCAGGGGTGGTGTACAGTCCCTGTATCTGGGCCACGCTCACCTTCTCCTTGTTTCCTCATCCCCTCGGAGACTCCACACGAGGACCCCACGGCCATTGGGTTGCTGGATTGGCTAGTGTTTCTGGGTTAGAATTTGCTCACCCTTGGGGCATTTCCTGTCAAAAGTCTCCAAGATCTTCATGGGCCTTCCTCTTCCATCACGATTCTTGGTGGCTCAGCTGTGCCCTGCGAGCTGTTGCCCCTCCCTCCTGCCTCAGGGAGCCTTGGAGGGGACCCAGGGTTGTGGGGACCCCTGTGCCCTGCCTCATTTCTGCCCCAGTTCTGCCAGCTCCCAGCACCCCTGCCCCCTCCCGTGGGCCTCAGGCTTCCCCTTGCCCTCAGGCACCGGCCTCACAGCGGCTTCCGCCTCCTGCACCGCTGTCCCGGCCCGAGCTCCACTGCGAGGCTGCTCTGCTCAGGACCTCCCACTGCTCCTACCCCTGCACCTCCAGACTTTCGTTTCTTCTCCTGCTCCTGCTTCCCATCTCACTGACCCAGGAAGACATGCGTCTCTCCAAGGAAGTGAGTCGGGAGACCTGAGTGGTCACGTCTCCTGGAAATGTACCCTCCCTGCCCTCTGGTCTCACTGGTGAGAATGATGCCTCTGTGATTCCCTCAAAGCCCAGAGTTTCAAGGCAGGTAGATGGGTGCTCCCCTGGTCCTTCCCCACCCCTTTATCCTGTGGGAGCCACACAGTCTGGGCGGTGTCCTCCATTCTTCTGTCGTTTGCCCAGAGCTGAGTCTTCACCCTCATTGGAGCGAGCAGCCTTGCTGTCGGTGTTGGGGTCAGAGTCAGAACCAGACTCTCTCTGGGACGGTGTCTGTGCACATGTGCTCGAGAAAGGCTTCATGGGCCTTCAGGGTGGCCAGCTGGCTTTTATGACTCTCTAGTGTGACAAGTGCTCATCTTCAATAACTGCTTTTTGAGTTTTCTGAGGCTGTTTGATAACATTCTCCTAACGCAGCATGAAGACAATTCTTTCTTTAAGAGTTGTGAGCACTCAAAATAGCGTCCTGGAGGGAGGCAGGTGCTCACACGTCCTGGGCATGACAGGCTGTGACACCCAGAGGACAGCATGTGTGGTAAATGAGGCCCCACAGGTCTGGGCAGTGGTGTTGTCTGGGCCCTCTGGCAGCTGTCCTATAGAGGGGACATCTGGGCACAGGTGGGCAGGCACGTGGTGTTTGTACACACAGACCCAGGGAAAAGCCCCAAGGTGGAAAAATGTACCTCTGTAGGTCAGGGCTGGTAAGAGACTGAAGAGAGAGGCCAGCCACTGCAGTCTGGTAATTAACGGAGTTTATTGGGGGAAACTGAGGTACGAGGCATGTCTGGGGCAGCAGCTGCAGGATGAAATGGATCCCCTCACCACTCAACAGGCACCAAAGAATTACACAGGGAAGAGGGGTGCTAGCCGGAGGAACTAGTGCGTGAAGGCTGCCAGGTGTGGGAAACTACGTGCTTGGCCCGGTGGGGACAACCACCTGTTCCAGGGCCGGTGCACAGCAGGAGGCGAAGGAGGGTGCTGATTTATGTCTGAACAAACATCATTTTTGACCAGCCTATTTGTAAGGGGGTTTGGAGAAACAGCCTGGGTTTTTGGCTCAGGTCCAGCTTGCAGGACAGGCCCAGTCATATCAAGGGAACAGTCTCTTCTCCATAGGTGTGTAAGGACTGCCAGGGAGAAGGGGTGGTGTGGCCAGTGGTAAGTCAGGAGGTGGGCAGCAGACTGGGGATGTGGGCTGTGGGGGGGTGAACACACACGTGTGCGTGGGGGCAGGTGGGCAGACCGAGGAAGATATCTGGAGATTTCTTTTGACTGGTTATTATTCACCCTGTGTAAATAGTTGGGAAATTCAGAGAATAATTCATATTATCTTTATGTAGTACTCTAAAGAGTTTCATTTATCACCAGCTAAAGCAGTTCTCACGGTTCAGGAGCATGTTTTTCTGAGTTTGCTTTGAGGGCCTTATCCAGGAGAAAATTACTTAGCTTCTTGGCTAGATAGTACAAGAAGGTCAACCCAAGCTGGCATAGGTGAGAGTGAGCCAGCCTTGAGTCAGAAGTGACGGGTCTGAGTTAGGAGCTGGCAGATGTTGTCCATAGTCTGAAGCCAAACAAAACAAACACAAACGAAGGAAAACATTAGGCATACACTGTCCAAGCTGGGTATCTTAGTTGGGGCACCAGGGCTCCCAGAACAGCCACTCCAAACGTCCCCCACCGCACCTTCTGCTCTCCTACCTCAGTGAGCTCCATTGATCCATGACAGCTGTGGGAGGAAGGAGAGTGGCCGTGGAGAGGGCCCCAGGGTTGCCTGCCGTCCTGAGTTCCTGGTGTGAATCTACTGATTAAAAGGGAGATACAGCACATTTTCTCTCCAGCCAGGCCTCTCATTTTGGCAGTATTTTGCCTCTTAAGGTACCAGGGTTGAGTATGATGGCAGAGAGGGAAAGAGTGTTGAGTCACATGAAAACTGTTAATACCATTGTGAAAGCAGAGCCATCCTTAGCCCTTTCCCTGCTGTGTCTGTTCAGGTGTAAACCCTCGTGTGAAGTCGGGACGTTTCATGAAAATTCTTCCTGATTACGAGCACGTGGAGTACAGAGATGTGTACACCTGCCGTATGTACCTCCTGCTGCTTTGGCTTTGGCGGGGGAGCACGGTGACAAGTTGCGTGGAGAGGGACCTCTGACTCACAGCACGCGGATGCTTTGGTCCTAAGAACAAGCTGACCTTGGCTTTTGCTGTCTTTTCAGCTTTCCGCAGCATTCTCTGTGGCTCGGCCATGACCAGGATCCCACCTGAGCGGTGGCCTGGGCCAGGTTTCCGCAGTATCTTTTGTGTTTTGGGGGAGTGCCAGTGTGATCGTTCTATTAACACACATTTTAGCACTTACCATTTATTGAGGCCGACAGGAGAGAATAGAGTTGAGGCCATAAAACCTTTGTATTCCAAAATGAAATGTAAATGGTTTACTTCTAGGCTTCAGTAGTTAGTTGTGTTTGGACAGCATATGTGAATTTGAAAAAATGACATACACCTGTACCTGTATACACATGAGACAAAACTATGTAGGAACAGTTGATTATTTAGAACCTGATTCCTCTTGATTGGCATTACTTGGGCTCTGGAAATTTTCCTAAGCCATATTCCATCGTGGTTAAGGGTATCTCCACTTCTTACTAGGTTGAGCTGAGATGGAGAGTGTGAATTTCAGTGTTCAAGAAAGACATTAGAAATACTGCTTGCAAGGACCCCCTGCTGCTTATTACCTCAGCCCCGCTGAGTGTGCCCTGTGTTAGCATCCCCTGAGTGGACCAGACCCACTTCTACGTCTTATAAGGGCACAGTTTCTAACAAAACCTACTTGGAACACAAGGAATAGAGTTGTTTATGGAATTTCTCCTTACTCCTGCCAGGCTCTGGATGTGCAGTTAAAATGCTTGCTGGTCCCATTTTATTTACTCCAGAGAACCACCACGGAGGCAGTGTGGAGATGCCAGGACTGGTCAGCGTGCTTGGGGTGGTGTCTGAGCCCTGTGCACAACTGTGAATGCTACTCACAGTGTTTGTGTCATCAGTCCCAGAGCTGAGCTGCTTGAGTGAAGACAGGGTCGGGGGGGGGGGGGGCGGGGCGAGGGGGCTCCTTCGCTGCGGTTGGGCGGCAAGGGCATGAGTGGGCCAAGTCTGAAGGCATGAATTCTTCTGTTCTTTTCCAAACCCCCTTGCAAGTAGCCTCTAGAACATCTTGTCATAGACCAACCCACCCTCCCTGCTTGGTGGGCCAAGTCAGTGAGCCAAGGAGAAAGTGAGCCAAGGTGCCTTCTCCAGGCTCGTGGGAGAGAACGTGATGTAGCACTTATTGATGAGAACCATCAGTCAATCACCACGGCTGTGCTGACGGGAACAGCCTGGCATGGGCTTTTAAATACAAGTGGACAAGCACTTAGAGGCTCATTAAGTCATATATTTGCTGCAGGGTTCTTCTAGAACAACAGTCTACCTGGAACTTATACCTGAGACCGAGAATGGAATTCTGACCCACCTGTGGGAAGGTGGCTCAGTGGCTGGGACCTAGGAAGTGCCTAGGTCTGTGTCAGGGGTGTGTTCTTTTTGTTCCCAAGGGCTGGCTTGTCAGAAGCTTTCTGCAGCTTGTAAAGTATGTGTCTTGAGTCCAGACTTTTCACAACTTGCAGAGCATCTGCACTATAGCCACGAATTGGATGTCCCCCAGCTGCAGGTAGCTGACAGCTTACAAGAGACTTGCTCCAAGTGGAGACTGCTGTCCTCTCTAAGGTGTGGGTGTAGGTATAAGAATGTAGCAATCCTCGTAGAAAACTTGAAGATCCAGAAAATACATGAAAATGTAATGTAAGCATTGGTTGCATTTCTCTGTGGACACATTTAATCTGAGTGGTCTGTTACCTCTATGACTGTAAGGAGAAAAAAATTACATGTGTGAAAAAAAGTCATTTCAACCCCAGTTTCAAACCTCTCTGTGCCCCAGTGTTTGGTATTCCAGTGCCCCTAGAACGTTCTCATGGAGTGCAGCTTAGAATTTCTTCTCTGCCGTTAGCCAGACTTCCCAGAAAAGTCTGCTGTGATGGTTGGCTTGTGAGGTGCCTGGGACCTTGCACTGTTTCTTGCACTTCATCCATTCATACTATTCCTGGAGCTTTTGAGAACTTGTGTCCCCTGGTCTCTTAAAAGCCTTTGGGCCATGTTTTGTGGGAAAAGAGGATCAACAGTCTTAGTGCGTGATGCTGTCCCAGGAAGAAGCAAATCAGCATCGTCTGAGGATGAAGATTCTGGCTCTTTCGGGGCATTGTGACCTCAGATTATTAGCAGTTTTTGCAGTGTCACTTTTGTTTATTTTTCTCAATATTGGGCCATATGTTTCTTCATATTCTTGCTAATTCATGTCTATAAGAAGTTGGAAGCATCCTAGGGGATGTATTGTCCTTACAGCATGTCTAAAACATGCCCTGTGTACAAATTGATAGTGGCTGTTGAAGTGCATTTTGAACTTAAAAATAACTAACTGTAGGGCTCTGGGTTTTGAGGTTCTGACCTAGAACCTGGCAGTGCTCCACATTGCTCTAGTGGATGCGCGGAATTTGGTAGAAGGTTGCCCACCACACGGTGAGGAGGTAGACAGGCCACTTTTACCCAGTGTCCAGCTGAAGGCTGTCAGGCAAGAGGAAATTCCCTCATTTACAGGAGTTAACCTCCTACTCTAGTCAGGGAGAGCCCACATTTAGAGTTCGTGGTTAGAGAAAACATAGCTCTCGCCGCCAGGCAGGAGTGGCTCCCTCCTATTGGTGGGAGATCAGCCTCCTTCTGCCCGGGGCCTCCACCTGATCGCATGAGGCCCCCCACACTGGGGAGAGCAGTCAGTTTTGCCGATGTTAATGCCAGCCTCAGCCAGAAACACTCTCACAGGCACATCCGGAATAATGTTTGACCAATGTCTGGACACCCTGTGGTCCCTTCCAGTTGGTGCGCGGAGTTAACCAGCACACTCTGTCTGCACAGAGACCCCAGGCCCTACTCCCGGCAGTCAAGGCCTTGTGAAACTTGGCTGCCCATTAATTCATTGACCTTATTCACCCAACAAGTACATGTGCAAAGGCAGAGGAAACTGAAGGGAAGGACATTTTCCAAAATGTTTACTGCAGCTCGTCATCGCTGTGCTGGGGTTTCAGGTTGGCACTGGGTTTCTTTCTCTCCAGTTGTCTTCAGTGAATGTGTGTGTTGCTTTGGAAATAAGGCGGGGAAGTGTGGTGCTTTTAAAATGGAGCGATGATTCAACTGAATTCTTAGTATCCAGCCCCAGGACACTGTGGACTCTACCCCACCTCTTAAGGAATCCCACGCTTCCTCAGCTGTATAAATGGACAGGAGGCTCACCACTTCATAACGGTGCTCAGCCCGCATCTTACAAGGCAGCAGTTCCCTGTCACTGGACCTGCGCACGTCCAGGCTGGGTTTCAAAAGGACCCTGTTGTCTGTTTTATTATGCTTTTCAAAGACTTTTTCATTCTTGGAATTCTTTAGAAAATTTTGTAGGTAAGCTTTGCTTAAATCCACATTTATTTACAAGGCTCTGTTGCAAGCCTTCGTCATTTCTTCATCGTTCTGTCTTCTTCCTCCTGCCCTTTCCTCTGATGTACTTTAAAGTGAAGATTGGTTGGCTCTAAAACGAAGACCTGCTCTCTCTCTCCCTGTAGTGCTGCACAGATACAGACACATCTTGGGATTATGGCAGCCAGATATCGGGCCCTACGGAGGACTGCTGAATGTGGTGGTAAGTCCAAGAGCCTCGCCTATGCATTCCTATGAAGTCAGGACTGAACAGAAGCCCTAGGGCCAAGCACTAGTGCCCCCTGAGGAATGCTGGTGGTCTGCCCCTGTTTTCCTTCTCACTGGCTCATGCCGGAAGCCCAGTCCAGAAGACCGGCTCCACATCTTGTAATACCAGTGAGTCTGCTTCACAGTGGCTCTGGGCAGCCTCAGTGTGGCTTTTCCGAGCCTGGTCCAAATGGGCCACCTAGTGACTCTGGTTACTGTCACTCTGTGTATGTTGCTCACCAGGTGGGGTTTGGACAGGAATAAGTATTACTTTATAATTGTATTTGGTGGCAGCATTCATTCAGAAACACACTTTACATATGTTATGTTTAAAAGCCTGACTTTTAAAATGTTCTCTCAGGGACAACGCAACAGTTCCCAGCGTGGGCATATTTTTTTCTTTTAGTTGGGGAGGGTGGTAAATGTATCCCATGACTGAACCACGGCAACTGGCTCTCATCTCAGACTGGTTCGTCGCAAAAGTGAGTAAATTCTCTCCTCCTGTTGCTAGAGGTAGAAGCCATGGGTCTAGGCTCTCCTGGGAAGGCAGGAGTAATGGCTGGGTCATTTCAAATAGGGTCGTCCCTGTCCCTCCACTGAGAATGTGGCACCTTTGTGCTGAGCATGTGTGTGGGGACTGCATGTCCTTTGATCTAAGCTCTGCCACTTTCTATCACTGTTTAAAACACACAAGAGTAGCAGGAATGGTAGCGCGAATTGCCAATGCCCACCGCCGGGATTCGCAGCTATCATTAGTGCACCAAGTTCGTGGCCTCTGTCTCTGCCTCTTGGTGTTCTGTTTTCAGGAGGAAGTTTCAAGCAAATCCCAGGCCTGTGTCACTTCATCTGTTCATACTTCAGTGTGGATCTCTAAAAATTCCGGTGTTTTCCTCCATATCCATCAGTTCTTATCACACCTTCCAAAAGTAGCAGTAATTCCTTGATGTTACCTGAGACCCAGTCCCTACGTGAGGTTCCCTCATTGTCTTACAGCTGCCTTTTGATAACTGGTCCATTCAGATTGGGACCTAAACCAGGACTGACATTGTATTTGTGTGTTTTGCCTCATGACTCTCTCCTGTTGAAAGCAGCACCCCCATTTTTTTCTCAGGTCAGTTGCCCTACTTACTGGGTATCACTTGCTAGATTATTCCGCTTCTTTCTCACATCATTTAGCTCCCCCCATCCTCCACTTTAGATCTGGGAGTTCTCTCTCAAAGGTTTTCTTGGATTCAGATCTAACAACTTTTTTTCTATCTAAAAAAATTTTTTTTCAGGTTTATTGAGGTATTGACAGAATTGTAAGATTTGTAAAGCATACTTCATGGTCCCACTATCTAGTTAATTAATGTATGCATCATCACACATTTAAGTTCTATTCTCAGTGAAGTGCAGTGATCAATCGACTGGTATTAACTGTAGTCACATTGTTTTTCACTAGATAACTAGTCTCTACTTAACAAGCACTTGGTGGTGGTGCTGTGCTTGTCCCACTGTGACACATCAGGGGCATCTCGATGTCTGTCGTCCCTGAGGTTCTCCATGGGCCTGGGGTGTGGAGACGTGGTGGTCATTGTGGACAGCTGCGGGTGAGGCCCTCTGCCTCGGTGCCTCACATACCCTCACGTGGACATGCGCCCTTTCTCCTCACCACAGGTGGATGGCTTGTTCATTATTGGTTGGATGTACCTGCCTCCCCATGACCCTCATGTGGATGACCCAATGCGATTCAAGCCCTTGTTTAGAATCCACCTGACGGAGAGGAAATCACCCACAGTGGAGTGCATGTACGGCCACAGAGGGCCCCACAATGGCCACATCCAGGTGAGTGTGTGCTCAGGCTCCCTTAGACACGCAGTCACGTGCAGGCGAGGGCGAGGTCTCCTCTGGTCTTCCCCATCCAGGTGCCAGCTGAGTTTTCAGTGGTGTCCATAGCTACAAGCCTGTGTCCGCACAGATCAGGGGAAACAGGGCTCTGTGTTATTAGCCCCCACCCATTCTGTGTATTATTTATGCTATGGTGCTGTGGTGTAGCTCCCCAGAGGATCACTAGCTGGACCCCTCCACTAGTTCTGCAGTCAATATCCAGTTAAAACCATTTGTTGTTTCCAACCACACCGTTCCTCACTGTTCTTTTTTTAAAAACCTCTAAGACTACAAAATGATAGTCCTTCTTTCCTGCTCTAAGAGTCCCCTTAAAAAAAGCACAGATACCTCTCTTTTGGGTGCACCATTCCTCCAGAAGGAAGTGCGTGCTCGGGTGGTTCTGAGCTCCCTTCTCTGGACTGGTCACAATTTGTATGCATCCTGGGCTTCTGCATATGAGTGGGGTGCACTGAGGAGGAGGGGCTCATTGTGTGATGGAGATGCCATGACTGATTCGTTCCCCTTGTTGCTTTGTCATGAATGCTGAAGATTGTGAAGAAGGACGAGTTCTCCACCAAGTGTAACCAGACGGACCACCACAGGATGTCTGGTGGGAGGCAAGAGGTGAGCCCGCGCCCCTTCTGTGCACAAGGAGCAGACATGAGGCTGAATGGTTTGACATCATCAACATGCCACCAACATGAGGGCCCTCTCCCATGGTTCATCCTGGTGTTGTTGGCACAGAGAGTGTGTCTGACCCTTTTGTCGGAAATGGCCTCATGTGGGTGTGTGTACACAAGCATAGGGTTTTGTTTCCCCTCCAACCCTCAGAATATGACCAGAAGGAAATAGTTTTCATTAGGTGGTTCTCCTTCACTGCTTTGTTGAGGGTGTCCCTGTGCCGTGTGTGTTTCTTCTTGGAGCTGATTTGCAGGGAGATGAGAGCGCTGTTCTCAGAGTCACACTATTTTCCCCACAGGTGGACCTGGTGATGGAGATTTTCAAACCAGGCCTCACGGTGGGTAAACCTGTGTGTCAGCTATACTAGGAGTTTTTGTGCTTTCTTTTGTTTACACGAGGAATTTTACTTTGTCTTCGAGTTGTAGTTTTCTGAGGATCTAAGTCATACTGCCATTTCAAAATATTTTCATTTCTTAAGAAAAACTTGAGGGGTGCTGGGAAGATGGAGACGGAGTAGGACGGAGCGGATTCTAGCTCCCGTACTCGTGGGTGAAAATCCTGGCAAATCTATAGAGAAGCAGCGCACTAATCCATCGGTTATCCAGCATTTGTGAAATTAAAAGAACAGAGATTGTGACGGACGCTGAAACACCAGAAAGCGGCAGGTCAGTGGGGTCTTGGGGACCGGAGGAAAGACAAAGCGTCAGCTGGGGCCCGGGCCCCTGGCCAGGTGGCCCCGGGGCTGCCTCTACATCCAGGGACCAGAGCCATTGGTCTGAGACCAACACCAGAGGTGTCTGCCACAGGAGCCTGGGCACACAGCGGCCCCAGTGGCCACCAGTGTGGGCCAGCAGCTCCTCCGCTCCCTGTATAAGCAAAACCGGACAACACCTGGGCAGAGACCTGTCTGCTTGCCGGCTTGCATTATCAGGGAGGGTTATAAAGACATAGGGCCCGGTTCAACTGCGGACTCTGTGGTCCCAACCCTGGGAGAACTGAGAGACACATTGGCCTCACTGGTCTCGCTGGGGACTGGGCTGGACTGAGAGGCAGGCTGTCTGGAGAGTTTTGGGTTTTTTTTTTTTGTTTTTGAAAGTGGACTGAGGTGTTCTCCTGCCAGGACAGCTTGGCTTGCTTCCCACCCGGCCTTGCAGCGAGCCGGGGTAAAGCGGAGGCATTTGGGGACTTACCACAGGACTGGGAAGTGTCCTCCCAGTTTCTCGGGTCCCAGATGGCCTGGCAGACACACTCAGGAGTGGATTCTTCTGGGTCCCTGCCACAGGGCTGGGAGGCACCTTGCTGGTTCTCGGATCCCAGACAGCTTGGCGGGTGCACACAGGCGCAGAAGCCTCTGAGTCCCTGACACAGGGAAGCACCTTGCTGGTTTCCACTGGCCGGTGTGCACAGGTGCAGAAGTGGTTGAGTCCTGCCACAGGACTGGGAAGGACCCTACCAGAACCCGTGGTACCCAAGCAGCTTGGTGAGTGTGCGGGCGCCCACACGCCAATCTAGTAGCCTGGCTGGTGCGCGCACTTGCGCCGGCATCCCAACCCACAGGGAGATCCTGCTGCAAACAGAAAAACCAGTCTGGACAGTTTGAAACCAACAAGGGGAGGGTTTCTCTGTTGTTGTTGTTATTGTTTTTTTGTTGTTGCTTGTTTGGGGTTTTTTTTTCTTTTCCTTTTTTTAGTAACTTTTTTGTGCGTTTGTTTAGTAATCTTACATATTTTTTAATTTTATCACTGCTTTATCTTTCTACACTTTGTTCCTCTCCTTTCTTTTTCCCTGTTTTAGTCCTTCTTCCTTTCCTCTTAAATTCATCGCTTTCGCCTCCCTTCTCCTGTCTTTTTGTTTGATTGCTTGTTGCTTCGTTTCCTTTTACCCACAAGAGACACAAACAACTAGGAACTGTGAAAGGACCAGAATGGGACCCAAAGAAGGGGCATCTCAACAGTAGAGACAGAGAGACAAATTTCACCTTCCTATAGCAGAGAAGCCACAAGGTGTTGCATATTTTTTTCATTATTCTCACTTCTTTTATATTTTAATAATATCTCTGTATTCCTCCTCTTTCTGTATAGGCTTCTCAGTCTTGAGTAGTTATATTGTATTATTAGACAGGCTCCCCCTGTCCTTTCCTCCACAGTGCTTTGCTAATCCTCTAAACTCCACGTCACTTGTTTTCCTTTAGCACACTACCTAAAGCTCTATACCCCCTACTCAGAGAGATCACACAGAGTTTGTTATTTGAGTGCTGCTCTAATATTATTGTAAATAATAGCTGATCTATACAACAGTAACTACTTCACAACACATCTCCCAGATCTTAGCCCATTGTACAGGTCCCTGAATTCTATCACTGTAGTGGTTAACTCTATTTGCTCACACACTACACCCATTTACTGTTCCTTACACTCACCTTACCTCAAAATCTGACCATCTAAAACCTCATTGCTTTCTAGTTCCAACTAACAAGCCTTCCCTCCCCAACAAGAGGCTTATCTTTTGTCCATCCTCTCGTAAAAGTGGCAAGTTGGGCTGAAGAATATGGTTAACACTATATATAGCCTAAAGATTGCCTATCTCCTCTCTGCTGGCTGTGACCGTAAATATCATAAAAAATTCTTCTGCTGTCATAAACCGTTTTGCCTCCTCCTACAACTGATTACACATACACAATAAAAGGAGTAGGTGGAAACGAAGAACATCAAGATACCTGAAGGAGTCTGCACCACTGAAATTCACAGGTATTATACCACAGAGGTTCACAACATAAACCCAGGGAGTCAGAACAGATCAATTTTAGAAGCTGAGGCTAACAAGAGTCTCACAAACAATGGGAAGACAAAGAAACAGTCCCCAAATGAAAGAAAAAGCAGAGGCTTCAGAAAGAATGTTAGATGAAATAGAGGCTAATCAACTATCAGATACTGAATTCAAAGCACTGGTGATCAGAAAGTTCAAAGAGCTCACAATGAGCTACCAGAAACTACAGGGGAGCTACAGTGATCTCACTGCAAACTATATCAACATGAAAAAGGAAATAGAAACTATCAGCAAGGGACAAGAGGAAATGAAGAATACAATTTCCGAACTGAAGAACACAGTAGAAAGTTTCAAAAGTAGAATAGATGAGGCGGAGGATCTGATTAGCGAGCTGGAGGACAAAGTAGAAAGCATCTCACAGAAAGAGCAGGAAAATGAAAAGAAACACAGAAAGAATGAAGAGGGAGTAAGAGAAATACAAGACAATATGAAATGTAATAATATCCGAATAATAGGGCTACCAGAAGGAGAAGAAGAACAAGGGATAGAAAACATATTTGAAAGAGTAATGAGAAAAGATTTCCCTAATTTAATGAGAGAAAAAGTCACACAAATCCAGGAATCACAGAGAGTTCCAGTCAGGAGGAACCCAAGGAGGCCCACTTCAAGACACATCATCATCAAAATAGCAAAATTCCAAGACAAAGAGAGAATCTTAAAGGCAGCAAGGGAGAAAAAAGAAGTAACATACAAGGGAGCCCCAATAAGGTTAGCTACTGACTTCTCAATGGAAACACTTCAAGCAAGAAGAGAATGGCAAGAAATATTCCAAGTAATGAGAACCAGAGGCCTACAACCAAGAGAGGAACACAGGTACAAAAATGGCAATGAGTAAGTACCTATCAATAATAACCTTAAATGTAAATGGATTAAATGCTCCAATCAAAAGACACAGAATAGCAGAATGGATAAGACAGCATGACCCTCACATATGCTGCCTACAAGAGACCCACCTCAGGACAAAAGACCATCACAGACTAAAAGTGAAAGGCTGGAAACAAATTTACCAAGCAAACAGACAAGGAAAAAAAGCTGGGGTAGCAATTCTCATATCAGACAAAATAGACTTCAAAAAGAGGGCCATAAAGAGAGATCCAGAAGGTCACTTCATAATACTCAAGGGAAGAATCCACCAGGAAGACATTAACATCGTAAATATATATGCACCAAACATAGGAGCACCAAAATATATCAAGAAAATCTTAGAGGACTTCAAGAAAGATATTGACAGCAACACAATTAGAGTAGGGGATTTTAACACCCCACTATCAAAAATGGACAGATCTTCCAAACCAAATATCAACACAGATATTGCAGCATTAAACAACACCCTAGAGGAAATGGACTTAACTGATAAATATAGAGCCCTTCGTCCCAAAGAAGCTAAATACACATTCTTTTTAAATGCACATGGAACATTTTCAAAAATAGACCACATGATAGGACACAAAACGAACCTCAGCAAATTCAAGAAAATTAAAATCATACCAAGCATTTTCTCTGACCACAAGGGACTGAAACTGGAAACCAACCCCAAAGGAAAAAACCCAAAGCACCCAAAATCATGGAGACTGAATGGTATGCTATTAAACAACGAATGGGTCAATAATGAAATTAGGGAAGAAATCAAAAAGTTTCTGGAAACAAATGAAAACGAACTCATAACAACCCAAAACTTATGGGACACAGCGAAGGCAGTCCTGAGAGGGAAGTTCATAGCAATACAGGCCTACCTAAAGAAGATAGAAACATTTCAAACAAACAACCTAACCCTACACCTGCAAGAACTCGAGGAACAACAACAAAGACAGCCCAGAGCAAGCAGAAGGAAGGAAATAACCAAGATTAGAGCAGAACTAAATGACATAGAGACAAAAAGCACAATCTTAAGGATCAATGAGTCCAGGAGTTGGTTCGTTGAAAAGATAAACAAAATAGACAAGCCTTTAAGTAGGCTCATCAAGAAAAGAAGAGAGAGGACTCAAATAAACACAATCAGAAATGAAAGAGGAGAGATTACAACTGGTACCACGGAAATAGAAGGGATTGTAAGAAATTACTATGAAGAACTGTATGCCAAGAAATTTGAAAACCTAGGGGAAATGGACACATTTCTAGAAAAATATAATCTTCCAAAACTTAAAGAAAAAGAAACAAAATTTGAACACACCAATAACAGCAAAAGAAATTGAAGCAGTAATCAAAAAACTCCCATCACACAAAAGCCCTGGACCAGATGGTTTCACAGGAGAATTCTACAAAGCATTTAAGGAAGAGCTAACCCCTATTCTCCACAGACTATTCCAAAAAACCCAGAAAGATGGAAAACTCCCAAATTCTTCTTATGAAGCCAGCATCATCCTAATTCCAAAACCAGACAGAGACACAACAAGGAAAGAGAACTTCAGGCCAATATTGCTGATGAACATAGATGCTAAAATCCTCAACAAAATATTGGCAAATTGCATCCAATAATATATTAAAAAGACCATACACCATGACCAAGTGGGA